ATATGGGTTATTGGAGAAAGATATATGTTGGACATAGTGGGAAAATAGTAGAATGAATGATGTTTAGAATGGGATGCTTACAGTGTTTTATTTGTACTTCTGAGGGAATGTTTTTGCTTTTTTCAACTGCAGGGGTTTCTGGGAGAATCTTTGAAAAAATTCAATTCAGTCCAAAAGTCTCAATTTCCCCTATTATTCACCTTTAAGTGAGCGATTTCTGACTATTTAAAGGTATGACCATTTAGAAGCTGGCTAGATCTTTTTAGAAAAGGCTTCAAGGGGAAGGTGTACCTAAGAAGTATGACAGAATATCATGTGAAAAGCAGGACTAAACAGGTGCTCTTTCAATATAATACTGATTTATAGAGACCATCAATATACCTAAAAGATAGCTAAGGAAAAGGTTTAGTGAATTTAATAATTAATGAAAGTTACATTTTTGGTGTAGTTATGAGCTAATAGTGAGAGGAAGTTAAGGTATTTAAACTGTACTTTGCTCTTGATCCAATGTTTTAAGTTTGAAAAGGAAGACTGAACATGTGCAAGGAGGTGACCTGGGACAGGCTAAAATCAGGATGCAGTTTCCACTGTTTCAAGAAAACCAGAAAAAGAAATGCAACATGTCGACACTTCCACATTGTCCTCCATTAACATTTCAGCCAGGGAGTCTCACACACTTCTGGAATTGGCTAGAACTGCACTGTCACCCACTAGCCACATGTGGCTATGGAGCCCTCAAAACGTGGCTAGTTTCAACTGATGTGCTGTGTGTAAAATACACACCGGATTCCAAAGACTTTTTTTTTAAAAAAAGGGTTAAACATCTAATTTATATTTTTTGATTGATCAGATTTTAAAATGATAGTATTTTGGACAGTGGACTAAATAAAATGTTCCTAAATATAATGTCACCTGTGTTTTTTTACTTTTTCAAATTGGCTACTAGAAAATTTAAAATCACACATGTAGTTCATATTATTTCTATTGGACAGCACTGGATTAGAAAATAGCTGGTAGTTCCTCAGCTTCCTTATGTAGGCAAGTGCTTAAGAATGCTAGACATGGGAAAGATTCTCTGTGCTAGTATTCACTCACTCTTCATCAAGCTCGGAACAGGTTTTCCCCCTTCTCAAGATTCAGCCAGATGGTACTAGGCTGGTCTTTTGACTATAGAAAGTTGTTATGTGCTGTTGAGTTGCTTGTGACTCATAGCAACCCTATGTACAACAGCTCTGAACTCTGCTCTATCCTGGGCCAATCTTATTGCCTCTGACACACCTACCTCTATTACCTGAGTCACTGAATTAATCCATCTCATCCAGGATCTTCCTCTCCTGCGCTGTCCCTCAACCCTCCCAAGCATGACGTCCCTCTCCAAGAACTGGTCCCTCCTTGAAACATGTCCAAAGTATGTCAGACAGACCTTCAGAATCCTTGCCTCCAAGGAGAAACTTGGTTCCACCCTCACTTGGATGAATTTGTTTGTTCATTCTATAGCCAACACTCTTCTCCAGCACCACAGCTCAAAGGCATCAATTCTTCTATCATCCCTAGTCATTGTCCAGCTGATGCATAGCAAGTAAACCGCAAAGATTATGGTCTGCATCAGGCGCACCTTAGTCTCCAGACTGACATCTTTGCTCTTCGGTACTTTGGAGAGGTCTCTGACAGCAGACTATAGAAAGTACTTATGTGGATGTCTCTTCTTAGTTACTCACTGGGTCAAAACTTTTTTCCAATGCAAGTGTGTCACACATTAAGGTTCACTTAGGCATAATTTTGTTCTGCTGAACACAGGATTACTAGGAATCAGTTGGTTCAACAGCATCTAATAATAGTGAAAATTAAAACTTTATTGAAAGTGTTTTATAGATCTTGCTTGTTAGAGCATTCTGCCTGTCAAAGAATGGCATAGCCAATGTAATTATATGGAATCAGTGACAACTACTAAAAAAGAAATATTAATTGTATGGGTTAAAAGAAAGAAAACATCAAACCCAGGACATTTGAGGTGAAAAGGCAAGCATATTTAAATAATCAAGTACGGGTTTTTAAAAAATTATTCATGCATTGCTTACATGGAATGGTTGCTTGGCTCCCTGAATGAATCATGAGTTTGGGCTCTTTGTTCTCCATAAGTACGAAGCCTAGTGTTGAGCTCATAATCGATAGCTGATAAACACAAGGATAGTTTCAGTATAGAAAGAAGCTGGGCATTATAAATCAGGTTTAGTTCACAAGAAAAGTTTTAGCTATATCCACAGCATGCAAAAGTATATTCATAATCAGGATACATTTCTTCCATTCTACCCAAATCTTTCTCCAATAACAAAGGAGGCTACTGTTGTTGGCTACTGAATATACCATGTTTTCTCTGTAATGCTAACTGATATGTATGGTGATCAAATTTATAATCATGACCTCAGCATTACTATTTTCTGTGTTATTGACTCAGATTTTATCTATGGGATTGAGCACAAGAAATTCAGAGACAGCATACAATTTAAGAAAATTTACATTTTACAGAGGAATACCTATGTATTAAAATACAACCAGAACATTAATTTGTCTCAAAAGTCAATGGTACTCGAGCATCAATTAGCAAATCAAGCAATGGGATGTGTTCTCTTAAGTATTTACAATATATACAAACTGATACAGTACCATAATTTGAGATGACAAAAACAGCAGAAGTTTCTTAAAATACTGAATTTGGAGTAAAGTGATACATAGAAGCTGTATGTCATACTCTGCAACATAATGTTTACAACTGGACTCACACTTAAAATTATTTCATCTTTAGCAATTATATGGCAGCTCAATGGCACATAACCACAACAATCATACCTAGATGTATCTTGGAAGATCTGGTGATTATTCTACGAGGCAGTTTCATTCTGAGACACGTAGGCTGTCACAAATCAGTGGACTTGACAGGAACGGTTTTTGTTCTAAGACCACATATTAAGGTATTGTATACAAAGATTTTATTATTAAAAGTTATTAATAACTTTTCATCTTACCCAAGAGACCCAAAAAAGAAAATCTGAAATATTATACTACTCTGAAGACCAATAATTTGAAGCCTAAGGCTCTCCTGGGAAAATTGTATTTCTGATTTGCTAACGTTGTTATGTGCTGCTGAGTCATAATCAACTCATAGCTGACCCTCCAATGGGTTTTTAGAGGCAGTAAATCACACAGGAAAATGTCTCCTTCTCCCACTAAGCAGCTGGTGGACTTGAACCATGTGCCTTTGGGATTGCAGTGCAGTTTCTTACCACAGAGCTACCATAGCTCCCTGATAAAGTTGTAGAAGACCATTACCATTATGAGACCAAGTACAGTAAATACAGATCTCCAAAATGTCATAATCTCACATCCTATGCAGATGTATGTTGTTGTTGATTGCCTTCAAGTCGAGTATGACTCATAGTGAACCTATGAACAAAAGGCCTGAAGACTATCTACAACTATTGACACTTATCAAAGTTCAGAGCCTGCAGATATACAGATCCAATTTAATACAGCACATGCAGGTCAGATTACAGGACAAGTGAATATATTTTAGGCATAGGAGCTCTTGTATCTACCACTGGGTATCCATTGCTCAAGCTGATGCCAACTCATGTTATGGACCATTGAATCAACTATGACTCATAGTGATATTGGAACCTTGCCTAACTGCACCATTCTCATGCTCTCCTACATGTTTGATCCCACTGGTACAGTCACTGTGTCAATCCATCTTGTTAAGGGACATCCTCTCTCTGACCTGGTGGCTCAGTGGTAAGGAGTTGTGCTGCCAACCCAAAGGCTTGTGGTTCAAATCCACTAGTTGCTCTTTGGGAGAAAGATAGGCAATCTCCTCCTGTGCAATTTACTGTCTCTTAATACCTACTGGGAGGTCAGCTATGAGTTGGTTCCAATTCAACAGTACATAACAACTCAATAACTCAAGCTCATTGTTGTTGAATTGGAACTGACTCATAGCTGACCACCCAACAGGTTTTCTTAGGCTATAAATGCCCATCTTTCTCTCAAAGAGCAGCTGGTAGATTCAAATTCCCAGAGAAGTGTGGCCTTCAGTTCAGCAGCGCTACTCCCTAAGGACTATGGCCACGGAAAAGTGAGGTTAAGGCTCACAGAGCAAAAGCAGCTGGATACAGTATCACTGTGAATCTGGGAGATAAAACAGAATTTGAGCAGATAAAACAAAAAGTTAGGACACGTAATTAAAACTATAAGACTGCCAAAACAAGTTCTTCAAAGGAGATCTTACAGAATTCACTTGCCTATTAGGAGTACTTTTCACACCCACACAAACATGCCTAGGAAACTAACACGAGGGGGCTATGTATGGTTTGCAAAATACCATTTTGTGTGCCTTACCTGTTAAAAAAATTATGGGAAATAAATCTCAATGGATAAATTTTTATTTGAACCATAGCTGGGAGTCTGTGGGAAGCTACACAATTAAATGACATCTTTTTTAGAGTCATCACTCCAATTTCACAGTAATTATACATTCTGAGGAATGCCACTAACTTAGGTTCCAGAAAAAGAACTTAATATTTCTAAGCAATTTTCACCTTTTCTCTGCAGGATTGATTTAAACTTTCACTTTACCACTGGTTAGAAACATTTCCTTAGGTGCCTAGTTGTGTATTTTAAGGAGATAAACTACTGGCACTTGGGGAAGCCTAGAACATTAATCAAAATCAAAGAGCTGGCAGAGCTCAAGTTTTACTTTAATTGTAGATTCCTAACAAGAGAGTTACTTGTGTATCTTAGAAGGCTAGAAAGACATTTAAATTTTTTAACCAATCACCGAAAATTTGTGCCATACTAGATTTTTCATTTTCATAATTTATCATTTACCACCTAAATATAGTATTTGCTATTAAACCCTTTACTTGCAAATTTACTGTTCTTAAGACATTTCTTTCCATTTTTTAAGGATAAAAAATACTTCTCCAAAATGGGTACTAACAGATATGTAGTTGTTACCACAGTAATGACAACACATGTCCCAAACAGTGTACATACGTTCTCAACCCAGTTCTCAGTCATTGTCAGAATCTTTTGGAGGTAAGAAAACCAATACATCATTGAAAGCATGTCCAAATGGCCTAAGACGGTATACTCCATACATCATCACATACATCTGACTAGATGACATTCCACCAAAAGTAACAGCCATATCTGAGCAATATCCTTTTGCTACTTGCTTGGGTTGATTAGTCATTGCATCTCTAATAAAAAGGACATGAGATTTTGTATTAAACACATCTTTTCCTTCAGAATCTTCTGCATTTTCTGCAAACACGCCAGCATATTTCAGGCAGACTGCAAGCTGCTTATCTTCAGATATTTTCCAGATCATCCCTCCCTGTTCAGGACACTTCTCAGGGAACCTGAGAAGGTTTCTAAGTCTTTTCATGGATTCTATACTTAAGACAATTCCTCCTCCCAAATTCACATATTCCAGTTCTCCAGATTTCATGGTGTGGCCTAAGTAGAAGGGCTGTGATGGATCCTTTTTTAACAAAAAGTACTTTAAGTTTTCAATAATAGCAAATGTACTGGGCCGTGCAAGGAAGAACCAGTTGTATTGGTCTTTATATTTATCAAAGGCATATTCACAAGCTTTTCTCATCATCATCCACAGGTCATCTATTTCCATATTAACTGATTCAAACACTTTAACATCTTCAGAACTGAAGAACTCTGCTTTGTCACAGTGCTTGGTCCAAGTCTCCTTTACTGCAGCCCAAAGAACCACCTCTTTGGGTTTTACAAGGATGATACAGTACACTCGAAAGCTCTTACTGAGCTCCATGCGTTCACTCTTGGAAATTTTCAAGATATCTTCTTTGTTAGGAGCTTGTAGGTGATGATGCTCATGGTGGTGCATTCTATTTCCAACACCAATCCTAACGTGGCCTAGCCCAGTGAGCAAGGCACAGAAAATGCTTCCGAACATCACACCCTTCAAAAAGGAATTGCTTTCAGAAAGCATTTTTTCCTATAAAGAAGAAAAAGATCCTTAAAATACTTAAAGGAAAAGAATTAGTCCAGTAATTTGACTTGGTATTCCTTATATACTTACATTTTGCTGTAAACGTTAAAAAGGTTCCCAAGTTTGAAATCCAGTTAGTTGTACATAGTCCCAATGGCCCTACCTAGGAATCTTTAGCTTTGAATGGTAACTGATACTGATTGGTTTTAAACTGGGACTTTGAAGCAACTCCTCTATGGAGTAGAATTTACTGTGGGGAGACTCTTTTTTTTACACTTTGTTTGTGGAATTTAATTAACCAAGCACTAAATCAAAGTATTAACCCTAGAAACTAATATTATACAATTTTTCTATCCATCATTCTTTTTAAAGGAATTTCATTTCACAAGCTTGCATTATTCAAATAACTTTGCAGGTATAAACGGACCTTCACACCAAAACCTAAAATTTAACAGATCAAGTCATCTACAACTAATAAATAAATCATCACTGTAATTTGTGTTGACATTTTTATTCTCAACTTCGTATTTTATTCAGCTGATGGCTACTCACCTTAGATGCTCTAAGTATATCTAAATCAAGTATATTGAGATTGCTAGGATTTATGTTAACATTTACACTTTCATTCCTAAAACTAAATGGTTCTCAATACAGTTTCTCAACTAATTAGTGTATTAAAAGCTCATAACAAGAACAGTTAAAGTATTTGGATAAGAACTAAGTAAATACAGGCATTGCTTGGGACTATTAATGATTTCTCTCTTTTTTTCACTAATGAACTTTTTATTTCTTGAAAAGGTATTTCTTCTTCCTTGGGGAAGTAAAAAAGGAAAACTTTACACTTTTATTTAAATTATAAACTAAAAGAGAGCCCAACATAAAATACAAGTTTGAAAAATAAAATTATCATGCTGTTTATGCTAGTAAAGACTAAAATATTCCCAATAGCCTCCAACTCCACAAAGAATGTGATTTTTCCTTTTGTCTCCTGAAGTTCAAAGGACTCTTTTCTCATTATACAAATAGAAAAGTGAGGTCTAGAGAAGTAAAGTAACTGGCCCAAAGTCACATAGTTAATAGAAGTGGAACTAGACATCAGATCTCCTGACATCATTTCAATACTTTTTTTGTTACATAGCAAACTCCACAGTTGTCTGACACATAGCATTGAGTCTTTAATAAATCAACTGTTTTGTCTTCGTATAGATAAAAAAAAATGTGGGCATCAGTTATCCATAATTGACATTTTGCACCCAGCTTCACCACACTATAAGACCACTCCCATGGAATTCTACAGGCATACCGCGAACACACTAGAGTTTGGTTTCAAATTTTTCACAATAAAATGAGCAGCACGAGTTTTTTTGTTTTCTCATCAGTGCATATAAAAGTTGTATTTTACATTGTAATGTGAATGTTCAAGAGCACTATGAAAAAAAAATCTGAAATCTGCTAATTACCAAAATGTGACACAGAGACCCCAAATGAGCACACATGGTTGGCAAAAATGGCACGAATAGACTGGCCAGTCTCACTCAGTATTACCATGAGCCTTTGTTTTAAAAAGGGGAGGGGGGTGGAAGCACCATCTGTGAAGTGCAATAAAACGAAGTTTTACTAACTTTATAAATCTGCCTGCGAGCAGATTTTTTTTTTAAATTTCCACCTGCAAGACAAGGTACAAGATAGCTTTGCAGATCATATTTCTAAGAGTTAGGGTGGAGGAAGCAGCAGGATAGTTACTCAAAACACCTGACCAATCAATGAACAAAGCTCCAAGAAGGAAAAAGATAAGTGACAGGGAAGCAAATTCTGCTGTCAAGAGGCCCTCTAAAATGAACCTGGCATTTGGCATTTCCTATTTGGCAGTATTCGTGATTTCTGTCCAATATACGAGAATTCACACTTGTCTCTTACTTAGCTCCTTAATGGCTATATATATGTGTCACAATTCTGTCTGATGGGACACTACTCATGGCCGTAAAAATACTCAACAAAACCCAAGAAGTGAGCAAAGTTTATATAAATTATTGTAAGGAGACTCCCCCCATTCTCAACATGAGGGAGGGTGGAAAAAGCCCCACCAAAAAGAAAATTTAACTCTGGGACGCACATGACAGGCTATTTGAAGACAGGATATTTGACACAGGCGCAAATGAAGAACAGGCAGAATGGCCAGGATGACTCGTTCTGTAAGGTGAAAGTGCTGAGTAGGGGGGCGAAATGGAGACCAGAAGTGAGAAGGATGGCATAGTTACCCAGAGACTCAACTGAGGGGGGCAAAAGAGTGTCCCCAAGAAGGCCGCTCTCCAACTCTCCCACTGACTATTCCTCCCTTAGCACCTGCCTTGGAGTCCCACGTGGAACATGCCGGGAGTGATTAAGGGCCCTGGTCCGCTTTAAGGAAGATGGGTCTGATGGAGTCGGGCCGAGACCCAGGCACTCACCGGTGTCTATAACGTCGCGGGGGCGGGAAAGCGCAGCCGCGCACTGATATCCTCTCACGTCCGCGCGCCACTGGGTTACACTCCCGGTCAGGCTGCTCTAGCTGCCGGCAGGGTCCTCTCTCATTGGTTTCGCTAAAGGTGGGGAGGACCAGGAAGCAGTGGCCACGACAGCAGGGCTAGCGGGGCGGGGCAAACAGGCCCTTGGCCCGGAGGAGCCTCCGGCCCGCGCCTACGTCGAAGGGCTCGCGCCCTCACAGCGCGCCACTCTTCCCCGCGCGCACGCAGTGCGCCACTTTCTCCCCGCCCCTCGCGCTCCCTTGTAACCAATGGGGAGCCTAGAGAAGCAGCGTGCGTCGAGCCCACTGACAACTCCCAGCACTTTACCTTCCCTGTATGAAAACCGAGAATGTGGAAGAGTCTTGTTCCTGGCTGCTAGTGTGTTGAGCGTTTTAGTAATTTCTTAAATGTACTTTTGCATCTTTGCACTTTTCTAGTTGCAAGAAGGTGCTCCACACTAGTCTTTTTTAGCTGGGGCCCGGGTGCAAGCTACTAAACTTTTTCAATTATAAAGGAGAATTGTGGCATCAACAATCTGCGTTATGCAGATGACACAACCCTGCTCGCTGAAACTGAGGAGGACCTGAAGAGCTTGCTGCAGAGCGTCAGGGACTGCAGCCTTCAATATGGATTAAGGCTCACTATCAGGAAGAGACAGATTCTCACCACTGGGCCAAGTGGCGGCATCCGGATGGATGGTGAAGAGATTGAGATTGTTGACAGTTTTAGTTTGCTTGGCTCCACAGTCAACACTCTTGGCACCAAGAGCCAGGAAATGAAAAGACGTATGGTGATGGGAAAGTCTGCTGTTAGGGACCTCTCCAGGGTACAGAAGAGCAATGGTGTCACTCTGGAGACTAAGGTGTGTCTGATACAGACCACTGTCTTTGCAATCAGTTGTTATGCATCAGAGAGTTGGTCAATGACTAGGGAGAATAGAAGGAGAATTGATGCCTTTGAGCTGTGGTGCTGGGGATGGACTGCTAAGAAAATGAACAGTTTCATCCTGAAGAGGGTTAAACTGGACTGCTCCTTGGAGGCAAGAATTCTGAGGTTTCGTCTGACATACTTTGGGCATGTTGCCAGGAGGGACCAGTCCTTGGAGAGGGACAGCACAGGAGGGGAAGACCCTCTATGAGGTGGATTGATTCAATGACTGAGGTATTCGGGGTGGGAGTGTCAGAGACAATAAGATTGGCACAGGACAGAGCAGGGTTTAGGGCTTTTGTACACAGGGTCGCTATGAGTCGCAAGCGACTTGTTGGCACATAACAACAGCAAGAATTTGTTGTGGTTACTGGAGTAGGATACAAACCCAAACCACCTGGAATCCAATTCTGTCGTCAGCACTTGCTTTGATACTCTCAGAAAATGACTTCACCCCGACACTTCAGTGCCCTCCTTTGTTGAAAACATTGTAGGAATGCCTATCTTGTGGAAGATACATGAGATAGCACATGTAACTCCATTAGCAAAACAAACATAAGAATTGTTTTTAGGTGCTGTGTAATCCACCATGAATTCATAGTGACCCTATGAAAAACAGACATGAGTCCTGCCTTATCCTGTGTCATCCTCATCATCTGTGACACACTAGAGCCCATTGTTGCACTGTGTCACACACTGTCACTGTGTCAGTCTATCTCATTTCCTTCACTATCTTCCTTTCCTTCACTGACCATGTTTTCAAGAATGATGTCCCTTTCCAAGGAATAGCCTTGCATAGCTACATGTCCAAAGTATGATAAAGCTTTGTGATCTTAGCTTCCAGGAAGCACCCAGGTTGCACTTTCTTCAAGACACAACTGTGAGTTCTTTTGGCAGTCCAGCTCAAAGGCATCAATTCTTAATCCTTATTCATTGTCCATTTCTCTAATGCATAGCAGGTGATTGAGAAGACTGAATAAGACACACTATATTCTTCAAACTGACATCATCACTCTTCAGTATTTTGGATAGGTCCCTGACAGTGGATTTTTCCCAATGCCATACACCTCCTGATTTCCTGACTGCTAGTACCTAGGGTTTTGATCGTGGACCCAAGGAAGATGAAGTCATTGGTGGTTTTGGTTTTCCTTTTGTTTTGTTTTTGTTAGGTACCATTGAGTCAAGTATGACTCATAGCATCCCCATGAACAAAAGATCTGAATCCTGTTCTATAACTATCGTTGTTCCTCTACTGTTAATAGGGTTTTCAAATGCCTGTTACTTAAGAAGTAGATGTCAATCATATTTTCAAGTCTGTCTTAAATCTGGGAGCTCAGGCACATCTTTCAGTGGGACAGCAACCCCAAATTATCTCAGTACAGCAAACTGACAGACAAGTACTGTACCACTTAGAACCTTCTCAAACACAACTAACACCACCTTACATTAGATTGTTAATAAAATAAAACCCTACCAGTTTACATCCAAATTCCAATTAAATCAAAACAGCTTACCCTCCAGAATTCAACTGCTTCACACAGGAGCATTCAATAAATGTTAGCTATAATGG